TAGTGAGGCGGGCTCGGCGGCCGCCGCACCGGGCCCTCACCTGGCTCCAGGTGATGAACTCGTTGGTGTGGGTCTCCTCCACAAGCGTCCACAGCTTGCTGAGGAAAGCCGGCACGTTCGAACTCTGCTTCATTGTTACCGAGGCGCAGGGATTCCAGGTTCTACACCCGAACGCAGCAGTGGCGTCGGCGGCGACGGCAGCTGCTCGCGGAGAACGCCCACAACGCAGGCGCAGCAGCTCCTCAGCCCCGCCCCCCCGCCTCGCCGGGCGCGCAACGAGGCCCCGAGGCCCCGGGCGGAACGTGACGGACAAGCCTCCACGCTCCGCCCGTGCGCTCCGAGCCAGCGCTGGTCTAGTTCTCGGCCAATCCCGGGCGCCGGCCACAAGACAGAGAAAGGCGATTGGATAGGACGGCATGGGGTGGGCGGGAGCAGAAAGGGGTGCTGCCTTCTCATTCGCCCTTTATGCGAGAGCCCTCGCTGTAGCGGACCTCTGGCTCAGGGGCAGTGTTTGGCTGTTTCACGTGGGAACGGCGCTGGGTCCCGGCTGCGGCCGAGAGCTGCGGAAAGTCCTCTGGGCCTGGGGCGCCGGCTGGCAGGCGTGAGTGCTTTGCGCGGTCAGCAGGAAAGCTCAGTAGTTCAGATGGGCGAGGGGAGCAGCTTTCGAGCACCAGGTGTTAGGCCCTAAATTGAAACTATCGTAAAAATAAGAAACCTTGCTCTTAAGTTTTAATTAGGAGAAAATGGGCCCTTTAAAATACGTTTATCAAAAAGAGGATTTTAAATATCTCACTAACCATGTGCATACTACTGTGAACCAGGATCTGTAATAGGCACCTCACATGCTGTTTTTAATTCAACATTGAATGCCCACTATATGCTCAACATAATATAGTCTTACATTATTTTAATCTACTAAAATAAATGTCCCCCCACGTACTTTACAGGCATATTCTTATTTGCTGGAGATAGTTTGGTTATAGTGGGCAAGGAGTCAGCATATCTGAGTTTAGACTCAGCTTCAAGAACACTTCAGTGCATATTAAATTGCACTGGTACCTTGTAATTTAGAGAAATCCCTTAATCTGTTGGTGCCATTCTTCCTAATTTCCTCATTGGGAATAAGAATATCTCTATTTTCACCCATGTAAAGTATTATTAATAACATAGTAGGTGTGAAAATGCTTTTTAAAAAAAGAGCTAATAACACTTGATACAAAACTTAATACAATAGGATTGGCTTACTTCCTGGATACCTGTAAAATAGTACATTTAAAAAAAAGATGCATTCGATTTCCAATGAGCAAATATTTATTGAATACTGACTTTTGTGTTCAGCACTGGTCTGCCTGCAGAAGCAAATCAGATGTATGATAGGATACATCTGATAAAGAAACTAATGTCTGATGAGCCCTTATATATACCCAGCTCTTTACATACATTATCTCATTTAATACTCATAAACACCCAATGAAGTAAGTCTTATTATCCAGTTTTTCCAATGAAGATTCTGAGGCTCAATGTGAATTAATTTATCTCATCACAATTAGCAAATAAGACAAGATATTTTACACCCAAGCCTCAAAATCTGTGCTCTTTCTATTGTATGATGATGGCACCATCTTGATGCTTAAGATGCATATATTCTAACTCAAGAAACAACATGAACACAATGATCAGCGATCATTAATACTTAAAAAATAAGAGCTATAAAAAAGAAAGATCCCTTACCCTTTGTGACAGCATGGAGGGACCTGGAAAGTACTATGCTAAGCGCAATAGGCCAGTCAGAGAAAGACAAATGAACAAAATAGATCCAGAGACATAGAAGCATGGAACAGATTGATGAATCTCAGAGGGAAGGCCACTGTGGGAGGGGCTGGAAGGGAGAGATTAACCTAAGAATTTATATGCATAGCCCATAGACAAAGACAATGTGGTGAAGGCGGGTGGAGGAGATCAATGGGGAAAGAAAGGGGACATCTGTAATACTTTCAACAATAAAGATAAAATTTTAAAACGGCTAAATTTACAGTATAAAACAAGTACTTTTTAAAAGTCTAGAAAGACAAGAGTTAAGTGAATTAAGGTGGTAAGGGAAGATTTCATGGAGGATGAGGGCTTTAAGTTGGGTCTTGAAGTACAAAATACACACATAGCTGAAAGGAAGGCAGACAACAGTGAGCGAGCATGAGGAGCTAATGGGCATGAAGAGAGGCAACTCAGGAGTTAGGATTGGTGGTTCTGAGGGGGAAATGGGACCTCCTTTCATGGCATTGTATCATTTCCATCTGAAGAAAAAAAAAGGTGTGGTTAGATACAAGTGCAAACTCCTCTTTGGGCCTTGAACCTGTACAGACATTGGCCTATGCTTAGTAGGGCCTCTTCCTTGTTTAATGCTCTGCTGTCACCATCTTGAAATTCTTAATTTTTGAGCAAGGGAGGCTGCATTTTCATTTTGCCCTGGGCCTCTCAGGTTATTTAGCTGCTGTGTTTCAGTGTATTACATCTTATAAACCAGTAGTTCTCAAAATTAAGTATTTATCTACATCACTTGGAAAGAGGAGCCTGCCAATGTAACAAGTGAATAAGAATAACTTGGGTAGTGTCTACAATACTAATAAGGCCAGCTAAGGGGCTAAGTTATTAACCAGATAATCTGGTGATGGCACCAGGAAGTATATGGTGTGTCTAAAATTCCACAGCTGGGGTTAGAACTGAAACCATGTTCTTTGAAGTCTGAAGCGTATGATTTTTTCCTTTACACCAAAGGGCTTCTGTAAAAACAAATTGCTGTTTCTCCCCTTACTCCACTTGGCAGGTCTGGGGTTCGGGCTAAGAATTCACATTTCTAACAAGTTCCTAGGTGACACAGATGCTGCTAGTCCTGGGACCACACTTTAAGAACCACCGTTATAAAGAAAAAGTTAATCTGACCTTCCCTTTCAAGCATATACAGACTTGTTGTTACCCTTCATCTCAACAAATTCAGACATTCCAGGAATAATTTAGACTACTGTATTTTCTTTTTCTATGAACTGGATCCTTAATATTGATTGGAATTAATAAACTTTTCAAAAACTTTATTGACTAAAGACATTTTTTGGGTGGAAGAGAAAAATCATTATTGGTTCATTTGCACTTATTTATAAAACTGAGAAGGAAAATGAAATCAGGCTTTTTAAGTCACAATTATTTGCCACACATGCTATCCCACAAATGTCAGAAGAAATAAATTTGAGCCAATGTCAACAATTTTGAAATGTTTACAATATTATAAGATACAAATATCACTTTCTTAAAGTGAATTCCCTGGATTCTAAATCATATAAAATATGATTTAGAAAATTTAGAACATTAGAAAATATGAGTGACCCAGTCCTTTGCCTAGGAAATAGGCATGAACACTGTGGAGCACTTTGATGCTTCAAAGCATCTGATTCAGATTGTACGAATCTGTCTAATCAATTATGCAAAAATAGTTGGAATCAGCAGTGCAAACAGAACTTTTAAAGAGTATTTTCAAGTATAACATGACCGAAGCCAAAGGTAAATGGCATAGAGTTTCCACCTACATTCCTGTCTGGACAGTGTTGATTTTGTTCAAATTTGGAATGACCTGTGGGACTTTCAGCAAGTCACTTGACACCTAGATCTTTTTATATAAAATACGAGTGAAAATTCCTGCTATGTTCAACTTCACAGAGTGTTTTTGAGGATCAGATAAATTGCTTCTTCTTCCAGTCCACCCTCACGATCTTCACAGATATCGTTCTGAAACATAAATCTGAAAAGGTTACTGCCTGACTTAAAATCATTCAGTGGCTTCCCATAATTTTCAGAATAAATCTAAATTCCTGTAGATGCATAAAAGACCTTCTGTGATCTTACGCCACCTACCATTGCAGCCATTGTCTACTGCGCCTCACAAACGCGTTACCCTTAGCTGCACGCCACTGCGTGTGTTTACCTACTGGCCATGTTCTTTCCCACCCAGACCTACTTCTGCAAGCTGATGCCTCTGCCTGGAGAGCCCTTCTCCATTTTCCTGTGAGTTCCTCCTTAACCTTCAAGGCCAGGTACAATTCCATACAGAAGTCACCTTTTTTTGTGAGACCTTCCTTAAAGACCTTTATTACAGCCCTTATTAAATCAGATTGTAATTATTCATTTGCATGTATTTTTTACATTAGACTATGACAATCCAGCATAAAGACTATGTCATATTTACATTCATTCTCATCTATAATGGCTATCACAGCGCTTGGTACACATTAGACTCTCAATAAATATTTGTTGGCTTAATCAATGAATACATTAACCTGAGTGCTAGCCATTCATTGAGCTTTCAGGACTTAACTTTGATTAGCTGGTCCTCCCATATGGTCCCATAGCATGTGGAACTTGACCTTTACGGTGTCCCCCACACTGCTATTGCTCGTTCACTTCTCAGAACCCCTCTTTAGCCTGACAGATTGAGCTTGCGCCATTCACTCTTGTATATTTAGCAGTAAATACAGTGGTAATAATATAGGAACTGCTGGATAAATATAGGGGGTTCCCCCCAAAATGTACACATATACTTTGAATAATTATAAAGGCAGTGTTTACTAAAATACATTTCATTTTCAAAATTGAGCTGTCAGCTGTGAAAGTGTGTAAACATTTTTTTGGGACACCCTGTATTTGTTGAATGAATAATTTTAGTTTTTGAAGCCCTTTGGATAAAATGTCCTCTACTTAGTAAGGAAACTCCTTACAATAAGTCTCAGTCCATATAAACATTTTAGTTAACATGAGAGGACAATGAAGACAAGGAGAACATAAGGATAGCTTAACAAAGAGGCATATGATTGAGGGACTATTAGTGGAGCAAATACGAGGATCTTGACATTAATGCCAGACATTAATGGAATGTCATAGAGTTCCAGGCTTGAGGTCATTTGTCTATTAAACAGGCAGTTCTTTGGACAGAGTGGCAAAGAGCTAAAACACCCTATAGTATGCTTTTGAATAAGTAGAGAGCTAGAAGACAGTGAAAGTTAATTTCTTAAAATTTAAAGACGGTCAACGTACTTTCTTTTTTTCTAAGGCTACAACTTGGGTGCAAAAGGCACCGGCTGGAGGATCTTTTAAAGTTAGGAAATGTGTTAGTATCACTTGCACTAGACTTGCCCTGGGACCCCTTTACATGAAAGTTCCCTTGTATGCCAAATTTGCTTGAATCCAACCATTAAGGGTGACAAAGAAGTCCAGGTTTCAGCAGGACATTTCTGTTCTAGTGCTGAAAGTTCTCTGCCCCAGGTAC